CTAGTGTACATATATATTTATATTTATGAATCACAACAAGAAAACAGACTGCTTTTCTCACTAATTTAAGGGAAACTGCAATTTCCATTTCATACCTATTTTTTTTTCCTCATGCAGAGAAGCCCAGGCTCTTATGTCTCTCATTATCACTTTCTGAATCTGTTCTACTTCAGCTCTGCCACGTTTTTAGACTGAGATTGTTTAGTGTCCTTTTCACTGGAGGGTGACGGCAGACGATGTGGAGCAGCAGGTGTTCTCTGCTGTGTATCAATGGGCACGGAAGTGACAGAGTGCAGTGCATCACTGAACGACCCCGCTGATATAAAGCAGCCCCACAGGTTTGTAATAACATTGGTGCCTAGTTGTATATCACTTATCCACTTAGGATCTTACCACTTCCCACCTGAATACGTCCAACAATCTATCCTCTTGGACAGTGAGTAAGAGCGAGACATTTAGAGGAGAAGCTGGAACCTGCCTGAGGTCAGTGAGGATATTCCATGCAGCTCATTTGTATGGGGTGTGAATGTACACCTGTTCACACAGATGGTAAACATCAGCCTCATTGCTTGTCCATTTATACATTTAATTAGGTGAGGGAGAGCAAAGAGGATCAAATTGCGGAGAAGTGGGAGGCTTGTTGTAGCATCTCGCTGTTGTACAATCCCATTTTTCACAGTTTAATTCGATTAATGTGTGTCGTTCCCAGAGTCTGGAGGCTGCTCTGCCACTCTGTCTTAGGCGTCTCTGCAGTATGTTTACTTTAGCCACTGCATTGCTTGTTTAAGCTTAATTGCAATGAATCTAAGCCTCAGATTGTGTTTATTGTTTCAGGGGGAGAAACTCTCTCAGCCAGGTCTACTTCCTGAGATCATGTTTTCCTTTTTTTTTTTCCATTAGACTAACATGCTCTTTTTCTCTTGTCCTCTATGTGTCTAGCGTTAGCCATTTGACACATTACCAAGATCCAGAGGCTTTTTTCTAAGCTTTCAAGATTCTTCATTTCGAGTGTTATGGTTGTGTTTGTTTGTCTGTAGACTTTGGAAAAGCGGTAGCCGGCTCTTCTCAGGGCAGTTTGTGTGCACTAATGGGGGTCATGGGATGATTTCACCAAACCTACCCAGGAAAAAGCAAGTATGAGAAACTTGATCATACTTGCAACATCCGCTTTATGTTGACAACATATGACGATATGTCAAAGCTCACGTATGCTGTGTAATTGTAATGTGTTAACATACAGTGGCATTTTACGCATTGTATTCCTGTTTTGACACACAAATAAAAAAACATGCTGAACTACTGTTAATGTAGACTTCGTTCTCAACTACAGCATAAACATTATTTTACAAAGTGTGTTATTAAACCTAATTGTCAAACTCTGCTTTTAACAAAATATTAATGTACTGTGAAATACCAGAGGGTCGTTTTACTCAGCATTTATATAAACATGTATATCAATATATAATCAATGGTAACATAAGAGACGAGAATGGCAGAACATAATCCACGACATTAGGCAACAATCTGGAGTCAATTTAAAAAAATGGAAAAGGAGGCGGCGAGCGTTTTTCAAAGCTGCTGAAACTGCAGACATAAAGCTCATTTGAGTGGAAAAGCTCAGACGAACACGAGTTCAAAAGTTCATTCTATTATATGTTGGTGAGACGGGAGCAGACGGTGTCAATTGACTGACATTATAGCACATTAAAAGAGGGAACATTGCCTATGTTAAAAATGCAGCTTTGCACAGAAAGGGATTTCATGGATACTAGAGCTGAACATAGCAACTGTTCTGTTACTTTTCAAACAAAGTACCGAACATTTGCGGGTGTTGACGCAAACTATTTGAGTTATTTGTGATTTCCTCTGTTTTATATCATTGGAAACTTAACATTTGTGGCTTCTGCACTGACTTCTGTTGGAAAAAACAGAGTTCACAGCTCAGACTTTGCCTCGTGTTCCTGGAAGGTGCATGCGATGGGTCATTTTCAAGATTTTCAAAGAATTACCCAATTATGTGAAACAGTCACTGGCAGAATAACTGTTGGTTGGAGAAGTAACTAAAACACAACATCCAAATATTTGACTTCTGATTTCCAGACATGACAAAGGTTAAATGACATTGAATTTAATAAATGTGGAGAAATACATCTGTAGAGTTGTGATTTATTAACTAGAACCTTCTCTTAGAGAAGAATAGTTTTATTACAGACAATAATTGACACAACATCGATCATTTAGAACATTGTTCTTCTGAAACTGACAGCTGGGCCGAAAAATGCTCCGCACCAACCAACATCTGTCCACCGACTTACACCATATTTTCTGTAGCCGTGGAAAAAATGTCCAACACAACCATCAGTCAGATTTAAATTGGTTTGGTGTTAATAATTATGGCACAGGAATCGTTGTGCCTCCACTGTATGATGGAAAACAATGTTTTCTTAATTTGAGATGACATATTTGTGTGTATTCCAGGAAAGAGGAACAAAAACACTGGTTTTCACCACATAATAATACTGCACTGTACATTAGTCATAGAACTAACACAATACCTCCTTCAAAAAGCACTGTACAATGGAGTTTGTTAAACAACCTGACCCTTACAATGGCAGCACATGTGCCAGTGATTACTCATAAGGATCACGTTCAGCACTGTTTTCATTTACCATATCGACCACAAGCTTGTGACTCAATTATTCGAAATTACTGGCTCCATCCACTTTACTGTAATGGTTTCCACAACGATTGAACAAAGTAGCTGAAATTAGAAGGGATAGCTTTTCACCCACTGATACTTGAGCCATGGAGAAGTGGGTCATCTCTGCTTTGATAACTGCTGTTTTGGGCAAAATGACAAAATCTGTTCCCACAGTCACAGATAGGCATCTCTGAGGTAGCTGGGTGCAGAAACAAGATGACAAAGCTCATAGCACTTCAAGTTTATCCGTCTCTTCCTCGCTGCATGTGTCCAACTTCATGCGTGGAGTCATTCATTATTTATTATGTGCCAACCCCATTTTTTAGGATTTTCAAAGTTCACTTACTGAGAAGTAATTCAGTAGATGATCTACCTTTGAGCGATCTGAGAACTTTCTCCTGATTCAGTTAGTTCAGATGCATTTCTCTTCTGCTGTCTCTGTGTTCAGTGACATCTGGATTGCAGGATCTTTTGGACGGTCCCTGATTACATCTGTGCCTTTTCTGCTCTGAGCTCCAATACTGCCCTGCTCAGACGATAAAGAAGCTTGTGAGTTTCTGACCGAGGAAGTTCGTGAGCCAGAGAGTCTGTCTGCTTTACGACAGCTTCCAGGGTACACCTCACATCCCTCTGGCAAGTAGAGGAAGGTGTGGGAGGTGCTGTTGACATCTGGCATAGAGTCTCGGTTGGAGATGACCGAGGAGAGCTGATGAGCATCTATACAGTGGAAGTTTCCCTGTCTCTGTTGCCCCCTTGCTCCCATTTTGCAAAACAGACACTTGATTTTCTCAATGAGTTTGAGGAGAACAGCCTTGCGCAGCAGGATGTAGATCCAGGGGTCCAGAATCGGGTTGAAGGAGGCGAAGCGTATCGCTCTTAGATCTGGGTTTTTCTCCAAGATCAGCTCAACTGGAGTTTTGTAGAGCTGGTTTAAAAACACCTGTGCCTGCAAGGAAAGCAAGAATAGTTGCTGAGTAAATGGATGCATGTTTTAAAATGTTTGCAAGTGCACAAGTTTGGATGTGCACGTGTATTTATAAAGAAGAGTGGAAAAGTGAGTAGCCAAGAAGAAGAGTCACCAAGAGTAAGAAAGGAGAAATTTAATAAGAATATGTTTGAACTTTCCTCCCTACCACTTGAATTTTTATAAAACTCCATGAACAGATTGTTCCATGTTAAATTTTGCGAAGACAGCTGTGCGTAAAACGTGGATAGAGGAAAAGAGGAGAGTAATGGCTTATAAGGGGGAAATTTTTATTTAAAGCAAAACAATTCTAATTTAACTTTATTTTCTAATCGCCCACACAGATATGGGTAAAATTGCTTGTTGAAATAGTTCTAAAAAATAATTTTGTACGTAAAAGAGTCATGCGTAAAACGTGCGTAATGGTTAGAATTAACACAGTGAGTGGAGGAAAAAGAACTTACAACAAGGGGGATGGAGCAGATGAGCACCACTGCAGATGTGCCTATAAGCAGAATGACCATCTGAATCTCTGCACCGGCCAGACGCCCAAAGCTGCGTCCTCTCCTCCGCGGATCCACGTTTCGCCCCACGTCGGTTCCCAGCGACATCCTGCGCACGAAGCGCCGATGCATCCTCATCAAAGCCACACACACCAGCACGTTACAAATAACAGTGGCGAGAATCAGAAGCGAGCTGAAACCTGCATACATGTAGGAGTAGGCTGCATCGCTGGTCTTGTTGCTCCTCCACTCCAGAAAACACCAGGTTTGCGGGTATTGTTTCTTCACCTGTCCAAAGCCCATAATCGGCAGAGCGCAGAAAAGCGCGTTGGAGATGTAGATCGTTAGCAGAGTTAAACCCGCCAACTTCTGGTCCACATAATCATTGTAGAAGTATGCATGGTTTATAGCGATGTATCTCTCCACCGACATGGCACAGATGATGCTGAGTCCCGCCAGAGAGAAGAAAAGCATCGTGAATCCAAAGTACTGGCACAGCGGGTCGTCACCGGGCCATGATCCTTTCACATAGATGGCGATGGTGACCGGACTGGCCAGCATTGTGCCCAGCAGGTCCGTGACGGCCAGTCCACACACCAGCGTGTAAAACGTGGTTTCCTTCTGCTCTTTGCGAGTTTTACAGAGAACCACGATGGCGATGACATTCCCAACCACCCCGAAAATAAACATAATAGACGGAATGGTCGGCACCATGGTCCTCCCGGTCATCGACTGATTATTCATTGTTCTGCCCTTTAGACGCAGTTCAGGACGAGTGAAACAACTTTTCCTAACGCCAGTATTTCCAGTCTAAAGCTTGAAACTCATTTGAACTTGACATTTGCCTGAGTGACATTGTCAGATAAAAAAAAAACACCTTGCAACTTATCTCAGAAGACAAACTTTAAAGAAATGTCTGCGTGCCATAGAGCCTCTTCTGCCTGCTGCTGCTGCTGTGGTCTGCGACGTGTCAGTGGTGATTTGCTATCAGAGACTCAAAGATGTGCAAGACAGGAGTTCACTCACCAGCACAGAGAGATAAAAGCAGACAACAGACACCAGTGACTTCATTGAAATGAGGCTCTGCCTTCAAGCTTCCTGCAGGGTTCAGTCCCTCCCCTTCACTTCACTTCACCCTCATCAGCTGTTCAGCCTGGTGCAGGAGAGGCCTTGGATATATTGTGTAACACAGAAGTTCATTAAAACTCACTACAAACGTTCAACAACAATGGTTTATTATTTCTATTAAGTTAACCAATAGGCAATCTCAAAATCTGAAGTGCACTCTTTGCTGTTAAAATTAGTATAAAGAAAAATCATATTGAAATGTACATTTTGATGACTGAACTGTGTCTTGTATCTAATTGAAACATATGATTGGTTTATTCCATGTCGAATAAATTCATTATAAATCAAAAATATTCAGTTTAAAGACTGGTGTGAAAAGTTACACTTCCACCGTTGAATTAAGACAAGAAGCACACGTTGAGATATGTATCTCTAAATTATTTTATTTACTCTATTGATTTGATTTCATCACAAATTTTCATTTTTACATTTGATCACACAACTGAACTTTGAAACATCTTAAAAAAAGTTTAATAGAAATGTATTCTGGACCCATGCAGAGCTGTAGAAACTCTGCTCTGTCTGTCCTGCAGACTGATTAAGACTCAACAACCTTTAGGTGCATTACTGAGGACACTGCCAAGAGCCAATGAGAAAAAGATTCCTACATTAGTATTGTTGCAATACACCCCCCAACCACACGTGGGAGCATAGAGCTGCTGTGCAGAACTTCACCTGTTGATTGTTTAAGAAATCTTTCGCCATCTGGTTGTTAGTGTTTCACATTATTATTATTATTATTTAACAGATTTTTTTTGTCCTGATAAGCAACTTCCCTTTTTGGTCTGATTTAAAAAAATAAATAAATAAATAAATAGTAGAAGAGTGTGAGTCACTAAAATGTTACTGTTCCATATTATTTCTGTGCTTTTTAAAAATTTGTTTGCAAATAGGTTTAAAGGAACCAGCTCCACTCAGGTGGGTGGGGCTTCTCTGTACTGATGATGTCAGCAGTGGGCGGGGCAGACCTGTGTCAGGAGCTCCTCTGCATGTTGTGTTGACCCTGAACCAACGTTCAGCTGCATGAGATGTGATCAATCACCTTGGACTTGTTGTGAAAGCAGGAGGAAGTTGTACGTTTTGAATAACATGACGAAGAACTGAGTCTTGAATAAATCCGGAGCTGCAGGAAAAAAAAACACAGTTCCCCCCCTCGTCTAGTTTACAACTGTTGCACCCTGAGACCTTAAGCCCTGATGCCTGACGTCATCCCGTCAGACTGACCCTGTGTTCTTGGGAAATGCACTTGTTGTTTCTCTGTTGCCAAATTCTGGCATTTATTTAAACACAGAACAGGGAGAAGCCCTTTGAGATTACAGGCATGTACATAGTCTTGATAAAATAATATATATTTATATATTCAAACATTGACTGTATGTAACACTAGTGTCCTTAACATTACTTAACATCCTTGGCTGTTTTGCTATGTGTTGTTGTGTGTATGTGCCACTCTGTGCATACACAGCTTATTACAATATATTTTCAGCACCCTGTTGTGCTCTCCTCTGTGAGTGCGTCTGGTTCCAAAGACATGCAGAATATGCTGTAAGTAGATTTGAAAGATTAGGCTTCTCATGAATGTGCTTTTCCTGGATTTGTTTGTTGAAGTCAGATAACCTGCAGTGTGATTGCACTGTAAACTCAGAGTAATGACCACTGGCACTGCCGAGAGAATCAATTTTCCTGTGAATACCACCCAAGCTTATGTTCTGTAGATAGACAATTGCATAGCTGAGTGTGGGTCCTTCTGTGTGTATGTTTGTTTTGTATGTTTTGTTTTGCTGAGCAAAGAGAAATCTACGTCCCAAACACACTATTTCTTCCAGGGCTTTAATTCCTGGAATTTCTGCATTGTGTCATGGAAAGGTTTTGTTGGCTCTGTAGACCCCTGTAACCTCAAAGTGCTGTCAATTGGTGGAAAACGCTCTTTACTTTTTCTTCTGTGGTAGCTGGCACGAGTTTAACTCAGTTTCTACGAACAAGAGAGAAAATTACATAAGGGACAAGAACTAGATATACAAGTACAGATGTGTGGCACACTGCACTGTATTTGTCACTACGTGCAGGAATACCTCTGGATTAGTTCCCTCACAACACTGCATCTGTTTCGCTTTAACACCACTGATGTATTTCTCAGATTAGGGTTTGCCACAGGCCTTTTGGTTTGTTAAAACAACCTCCCTGTGGAGTAAAACCCGGACTCTGTGGACAGATACAGACACATGAAGGAAGACCCTCTTCATTTAGAGGGTGGAGATCTGCAGAACATGTGCAATGAGGGATGTGACATTTATACATTCATAACACGATAACCAACATAATCACGATTTACATGTTTTGTCATTGAAATTACTCAGATACTTGCAGGTAGTTCAAACTTTGACAACCAGAATGACACTCGACAGATCACATTCCTCCGCCAAGACCAGACGGTCCTGTTAAATTCGAGATGCACCAAATTTTGGCCCACTCATGAATATCAATCATCTAAATAAGTGATTTATTTATTTATTTATTTTCTAACAAACTGACAAACAGATGAACTGGGGTGAAAACATAACCTCCTTGTCACAGGTAATAATTAAAGCAGTCATGATAATCAGTGTGATTGATCGGCTGCCACGAGGTCCATTTAAAAAGCTGCTTTGGAGCCTTTGATTGTGTCACATGGTCATCATCAGCTGAGGGATTTTAGGTTTTATAGCATGAGTTCAAATGTACATTTTTTTCTTAACTCTTTGAATACTTCTCACGGTTGTTAGTTTACAGTAATAGTATATATGCTGCCTATTAATGAAAAGCAGATGAGAAGAATAACGTTATTTAGCTTTAGCTTTTTTTTTACATGTACTTAGCTTTTGTTTTTGTCTTTATTTTTGTTTATCTCTGTTTGTTTGGTTTTTTTAACTGTTTGTACTGAGAGAGCTAAGAAAAAACGGAGTCAAATTCCTCGTGTGTGTTCACATACCTGGCAATAAAAAGTGATTCTGATTCTATTTGATGGTAAAATAACTTCTGACAGTAGCAGCTCAGCACAGGGGCAGGGAACAGATAACTTAGCTCTGTCCAAAGCTGATAAAATCACCTTTAAAGAGCAATAATGTTTAACAGGTCACATCTTGTTTGTGTTCTGCACTAAAATTAGAAACCTGGATGGGAGACTGCAGGAAGATGCTGGCTCCAGCTACACATTCACAGAGACTATTATTATCAGCCATCTCACTCTGGGCATAAAAGGAATATTTCCCCAAATGTTTCAAGCTGTTTAAACTGTTATTCATACTGTAGTGACATAAACGGAAACGCCTAGTTACCTGGAAGGGTGCTAAGAAACATATGGCCTGTTAATAAGAACAACAAAGCAACAAAGAGTTTTGAGCGTCAATCCTGGTATTTTTTTCATTTCAAGCACAGAACTGGTGTTTCCAAACAGAGCTATTCACAGTTATCTGAAATCAAACAAAACTTCCTTGCGACTTGACTTGAGTCAAATCTGTGGACTTGGACTTTAGTCCCAGCGTCTCTGAGAATAAGTCCAGGTGGACAGGTTGTTGCCCCTGAGGACTCTCCGTCCGCAGCTTGTTTTTAAACGTAGAGTTTAGAGAGAGTTTGGATGTGTTTATTCTGGGCTCTGCTAGATTTGTAGATAACATCCGTGTGCGATCTCACTCAACATAACAAAGTCGCAGCACCGAGAATCAGATGTAAACTGTTTGAACTGGCACCGACACTGGCATGTGATGCCAACATGAAGACAGAAACACTGTCTGCTTTTTGAAATTGTTTGCAGCAAGCATCCGATCGAACTGTGCCATCAACTTGCATGGACAGTCGATTAGGTCATCACATTTAATCAGATCTAATCACTAACTCCTTTTTAAAATGTATATCGACAACTTCTGTAAATAACCTTGAGCAGATCTGAGCATAAATCATACATCTGATGTCAACATTGCTCTTTATTGAGTCGTCATCTGGCGCACGTCAAACCAAGAGAGGAGAGTTTATGCTTCAGGCTGTAGGGCTGTAAAGTTTGCTAGAAAAAAAACATTGGCTGATGCTCATTCAAGTCAAAATGACACACTCTCATGCACTATACTCCTAACATTAACTTCACACAGTAATCTCCCTGGCTTTCTAGCAGGTCAGTTTATCCATCCATGGGGCATGTTACTCCTCATGGCAACGTTCAAGCAACAGCCACAAAATGGGAAGTTGCTTTAAACGTCAAAATTCATCCAAACAACTCAGATTTGTGGAAAAAACTAAGAGTCCTGAATCGCTGCAAGTTTCCTAACAAGTGTACCTGTGGTTGGAGACGTTATGATGGTAATCATTAACAGGGAGCGAGAGTCAAAGCTACATTAGGAACATTTTCTGCTAATCTTTACATGACCAGACAACCTCAGCTGCTCATTAGAGCACAATGGAAAAACAGCAAAGGCTGCAGGATGTTCTACTGAATATGATGCATAAATTAAAGAAAATGGTGGGTAGCGTTTGGCAAAGCACCAAAACAACTGAGCGAAACGAAACCAACGCTGCATCTTATTTCATCTGCTCATTTATATTCTATCTACTCAGTTTGTTTGGACACAGTTTGTGATTCCTACTGTTTCACTAAATGGGAACATTCAGTTCCATTCCTTGTAATTTAGGGAGCAATCTAATCTACCTATACTTGACATTGTTTGGTTTGTGTGTCTGACGGCAGCATGTTGTTGGTGATATTACTTCCAGCATCACCTTCAGAGGCAAAGACTGCAGCAGTCCTGCAACCTAGCTCAGCTTCTTTTTTGTCTTCTCTGGTTTGAAGGGATAGTTCATCCAAAAAGGAAAATTCCTTCATTATCTACTCACCACTGTGCTGATGGAGCGGTTGATGAAGTGTTTGAGTCCACAAAACATTTCAGGAGTCTCAGGGGTAAACAGAGTCCAATTCAATTAGGACCAATTCTTTAAACAGAAAAAAACAACAGAAAAAACAGAAAATGGCTCCATACAGCTCCTCTGGTGTCATCCAAGTTTATGTAAGCCCAAAAATTGAGTCCACCTCTTGTTGGTCAGACTTAATTTTGGTCCCCTGGTTTAGACCATGGAGCAAAGAGCCTTTCACACGTTAGTTACAATCAGACTAAACTGAAATAAAATCCAGAAGTCTGGACCAAACAAAGTCGTGAGAAATCGCCCTGTGTAACATCTTGTTAAAATCTACTCTGACACTAACAGGTGGTTTCAGTTGATTATTCTGTTGCAAAAGCAACCATCACTATTTTTAGTGCATGACGCAGCATTCATTGTTTAGCACCGACAGTGTCCGGGCCTGAGCTGTTGCTGGTCCAGTTGTCAAAACCACAACAACCAAGTCCCACTTGGGACATTCAACAACAGCTGTCTTTCATGATAAAATGCCATGCTAGCTGTCCATGTAATGCCACAGGATAGAAACCCCAAAGCCAGATGAACACACGTGTTCACCAACTGCTGCTGCCTCCCCTCAACATCCTCATTTTGACATCTGACGTCAGACAGGATCTGTTTGATTGGCTAGGACCTGTGCTTTTGCATTAGCGTCTATTCAATTTGATTGGCTGGTGCCTAAGCTTTTCTCAATTTGTGGAAACACAATGTGCGTCCTGCAAAGCATGACGTCACATCAGCCCACTCAAAGTGAATGAGTAGTATTTCCGGTGAAGCCCCCAACCCGGTGATTGCTGTGTGTGTCAATAGTAAATGGACTGTAGTTATCTTCTCTAGTCTTGAGACCACTCAAAGTGCTTCACAGTACACACACATTCATCCTATGCATCAATGAGCAGCACCTTTTTTTTTTTATGAGGGGCAATTGGTTCAGTATCTTGCCCAAGGATACTTCACATGCAGATGGGGAAGAACGGGATTGAACGGCCGACCTTCTGGTTGGAGGATGACCGCTCTACCCCCTCAACCCCAGCTGCCCCAGTGTGTGCATGCTGACAGATATGGCAACATGCTGTACCCTATGAGTTGGCTACTTAGCAGGAGAGAGACCATTGACCTGTTTTCAAACTTGACAAATTAGAATAAATAAATTGGGCCGAGGAAGCAGCAGATGTTTCAATAGCAGCTGAACTTCAACGTCATGAGAAACTGGGGTCAAACAAGCAGATACATGTAAAGTCAAGCTAGGAAACAAGCTTGCTGATATTTTCAGCTTCTTTTCAGTGTCCTACCTCGTGGAGCTACAGCATCAGGCCGGTGTGACAGCTGTGATACGTCCCGCCAGAATGTGAAGTCATCATTAAACACTGAGACATGTGTTTAAACCACATGTTGGGTCAATACTCTTAAACGAAGCTGCACAGATAAAGTGTTATGGCATCGACTGGTCAGAGGTTGAGAGAGATACAAGAAGTGTTTATTGGTTGCAGAGCATTAAGCAGCCGTCTGATATACAGTCATGTTGATATCCAACTATCCACATTGCACCATGTGGTCCAATAGGGTTGTAGAGTCATCTTCCAATTTCATATCACAGCTGGGTTATCACAGTATACTAGATAATATGCAGAAGATAGACAATATACAAGATACAATACAAAACATATGTTGTAACTTATATGGTGATTTTTTAATCAGTCATTGATCCAATATCCAGTATTAATTAAAATTAAATTAATGGTCTATTTGCGACCAGGGTGTGTATTTACTGAAAAGGATCAGTAAGCTTTAACCAAAGTACAAGCAATTCTGTTAAAGCTCACTGATCCCCACTCACTCCTTGGTGGAAGGACGCAGTGTGGATCAGGAAGGAAACCCATTAAGTGTAGGTACAGAACGAGATCGGGTTGAGGATTCAAGATGTTCTATTCACTTTTAAATTCTTTATAAATAATTGATAGCTATTGCTCGAAGAGTTTAATTTAATATTTCAGTTGATTTCCCAGAAAATTGTCTGTGAATCTTGATGAAGAATTTCAAGCACGTATAAGGAAGTGAGATCAGGAGTGTGTGCAATGTGGTGACGCTTGATTGAACTTCATCACCAACAATCATTCTGACACTTTTCAAGTGTTCAACTAAATGCAACATTACAACATTTGTTTTAGCAACCGTTGTCCAAACGCGTGTGTCGTCATCCCCATTTTTACCATTAATTACATTTTTTCACTTCTCTTTCCGCCCCACCTTCATGTGAAGCCATGGGCAGCAGCTGTAAACACTTTTGTCATTGACAAATGTGTTTTATCAGTGTGAGCGGGTTGACAGCTTTGGGTCATGGCCAGGATTTGTGTAATTTCCTCATTTCAACTTCACACACTTGCAACCCATCAGAAGGAAAAAAACAATCACAATTTAATTGATGATTGTTTGCATATGTCAGCTTTGATAAAGTCCAGACAACATGAGGCTGCAAGAATATGTTAACCAGTTGTTCAAAAACACCTTAAATCATGTTGATACAACAAACAGAGAACACGTGTTGACCATAGATACAGATTGACAAAGTAATGGCTCCCCAAAAGTGAAGCCAAACCATCTTTATTGCCCCCTAGTGGCTGGCTGCACTGTAAGACATACATCCCGTACCCCCATGTTAGTGGATGGGACATGGACCAAAATTAATGTTTTTTAACCAAATTTGGTTTTAATTAGTTTTTTTGATGCTTTTTGATCACATGTATCGGCGGGACCTTGATTCCGTGGCTACACACAACAATCACTACTGAAATTAGCGCATTTCAAAATTGTTTGAAACTACAAACTTAACAAAACATCAATCTGTAAATAAGGTGAACTTCTAAAAACTCAACTTTCATAAGTTGAATCAAACATTTTAATTGTTTGAAAATGTTTACACTCATCAGCTGACGTTGACAAACTAACAGACAAATGAATCCGACAGCAGATAAATCCCATGTCTAATTAGCGCAGTACGTCTATCTAATTCATTACAGTTTAATATGTGAGCAGCACACCATGTGTCAGGACACATAAAAGCCACTTATATCCCCAGAGCAAACAGACAGACAAATTAAACGTTATTAGTTTTTCACTTATCTGTTCAAAATGTTAAGATATGAGGCAGCTGACCTTGATGAGTAATGAAAGATTAATAAACATGTCTCTCTGGAGACTCTGCTGCTCTGAGCCAAAAGCAACACAACCAGCACGCATTTCATTCTGCAATCTGCTCCACAGAGCGGGAGACAGATACTCTGTGGTCTGCCATCTCTGATATAAATCACTGTTACGAATCAGAAATAGGAACCGAATCCTGTTGACCTCCGTTAAAAGAGATGGAAAACAGCATAGTTTGTGTTTGAATGACAAGGAGAAACTGCAGCCATGGGAAAGTTAAATCTAGCGGTACAAAAAAACATGAACATACTGTTCAGTGTGGATACAGTACACACTTCATCAGATGAGGATGTGCTGCCTTAGTTTTATCTCCTCCGACCAGCTGAAGTATTTATTCTACGAGGCTTTGTGGTGGAGATACATTGTTGATATAGCAGCAGGTGTTCTCTGTCCACGGTCTAATGCATCATCCATTTTCTTTTTCAGATTCTACAAAAACCCATGAAAACCCACACACAGACACACACAGGCCTATTAAAACACTCAGAGGGCTCTGGGCACCTGATAACCAGTGACATGGACATCAAACTTCCTGACACCTCACCTGACTGACTTCATCACCAGTGTTAACACACCCGTCTGTGAAATGACGGCCGAAAACCGATGACGGTGAGAAAAGTAAACACCCCTTTTACTTTCAAACCAGTGACTTTATACTAAGTCCGAGGAGCTAAAGGAGACTGGATGACCCTTTTTTATTATTGCAGATTCGTCGTTTAAAGCTTCTTAGTGCGAGATAAACACAACACACACAAAAAACAAGGCCTGAGTGTTTTAACACTAATGCAATGCCTATAAAGCCTCATCCCACTTTAGATTTAACCCCCTCTAATGCAACATCAAGGGTCATTGCACCATCTTCTAATTGAATCCTGTGTTAAATTAGCAAAAGACAAAGGAGGAAAAAAGGTGTGAAAGATCATATAATCAATATTTTCCCTTTGCTGCCATAAACACTTAAGAGGTAAAGTCTGGAAATAATTATAAGTTAATTTTGTCTTATTGCTTTTAATTCCTCTCTTTTCAAATAGAGCTCCAAAAACAACACAGTGCACTGGGTTTCATGGTCCTTCATTATAACACACATATACAGTAATTAACTTCAACCCTGCACATTGTCCTTCTGCTATAATATTCAATAGAATACTTGTATTAATCCGCATAAAATAGTCCCCATACCACTGTATGATTTACTATTGTTTGGTTACTTGCTAAAATCTACACTGACCTGATTTGGGGGAGTTTTAGCACGTTTATTCAAATGTAATATAACTTTACGACTCGTTTTTAAAGTTTGACTTCCTCAGCATGAGCAAATTACTTTAGGGACACTCGGTCAGGTGACGTCGGAGAGTGAGTAACACATTTTTCAATTTTTTTATGGGATTTGACCCAGGGCCTGACAAAAAGAGAAATGCAGAATAACACCAACTGTGTCGTTAAGGGTTCGTTACTCACACAGACTGATGATGGACAATGACTACATTTATAAGGACAGCAATATTACAACATCAACCACTTCACAACAGTCTGAAGAAGAAACTGCCATGGAAACAGTATTTTCTGACGACATTAACCAGAACGAGGTCATACTCCAAAATACGCAACAATCAAATTAAGCAATGTGGAGTATTCTAACCTCCGTCACTTTACGTGGACATGTATACGAATGAATCACATTGAAAAGTCCTATTGGAGAATATGCAGCATTTCGACATGTACAGCAACTGCTTGATGTCATAATTAGGCCATGCTCTGCATGTAAACAGGAATATGAACGGAATATTCTATTAGTGGCTCATGTAAATAATACAAAACAACTTAATACATTCAGTCAATAGTGGATGATTAGGGGTCCATGCGAATGTAGGAAATGACCCTCGGATTTTGGCTCAGTAGAATATTTTCACAGCAGTTTGCTGTAAACCTGTAGGATCGAATTGAGAGGAGCTAGTTCCTGGTTTACAGGGACACCTGATAAATCTGGGACTTTTTCACTAAATTAGTTTCACCTGCTTTTCCTGCATTCACTTTTAAAAACATCTGCTGCGGGGAAAAAAAAGCTCTATACACATCACAGTGGAGACGACACTCTGGTCGGTCATGGCAGCCAGGACGGAGCCTCGGGTTCACAATGGTTCTTGTTTCAGGATTTTGTGCCATTCATTCATACTGGACTGCATACCAGGCTGTTTCCCAAGATCATGTTCTGAATACTGAATAGTGAGTGGATTGAATGCATTATGTGCAGAACCACAACAGCATTTTCTTCTCCAAAGATCTATTATCTTATCTTTCTGCAGACTCTAAACAACATGGGCTTTTGTCCATTTGCCAGTTAACATGTGCTGTTTTTACTCATGAGTTCTGGTCGTGTGTCAGCTGACATGTTCATATTTTAACCTCTTCTATCACTATGCGTCTAACCTGGACCTGCACTGCATGATGCATGTTTATTCTTTGTGAACGGAAATGTTTCTGGTCACAAATGCATTCCTTTCGTTCCATGCACAGAGTTTGTTTTTCTCTAGACCGGTTGATCAGCAAAGAATTCTTGTGTGCGATGCCCCCTTTTATTCCCAGAGATGCTTTTGACTGACAGAGACACACTCACAGTGTGGGCAGAGAGGAAAAGGAGTGGGAGGATGTGATGTGGAGAGCTTTCCCCAGCTTCTCCCTTCTTTTTGATTACATGAGGTCACCACAACCATCAGGCCTAACAATTGATGTGAGCGTGTGTTCCAAAAATGATATCATCCCATAGTCCTGCACAGAAATACAATAAAAGTAGGACAGTATTTCTGTGACAAATGAACATGGAAATTATTTTATTGTGACATTATACTTTCAATTAACCCAAATTAACTTTATAAAAACAGAGCAATATTTATCAGCTACAAAAAACAATAATTGACCATTTACAACAGTAACTAGTGAAACAACCAGATGTAATATTTCACAATTTTATTTGTTATCTCCTACACATAAACAACTTTTCTGTACATACTCTGAGGACAGATCAGTGGTGTTGGTTCAGCTCCATCTTCATGCCTGCTGAGCTGCAGCTTTGGCAGCTAACCTCTCCTCTTTCTCCTGTTTGGCCTTCTCCCTCATCTCCTTCTCTCTCTGGATCAGCTGCCTCTTCTCGGCCTCCCAGGTCTGCAACCGGCTCTCGTACTGCTCCAAGTCTGGTTTCTCTGCTGCAGCCAGGTTCTGCTGGGCCAGAGCGCTCACCAGTTCCTGGAGGGAGGCAGAGTCCACTTTACCCTGAGTCTCCAGCTGGCAGCTCAGCTCCTGTGGAGGCAGAGAAGCAAGAAAAGGTTGAAGGCGTCAAACGGTGACCTCACTACATTATTTAAATAATGAAATACATTTCAAATACTCCAGCTTCTGTGAAGACATTGCTGAACCCCCCCAAAAGCAGACAGATTTCCTTGAGTCTATAAATATGTTAAGGTCAATTTAGAAATCAGTGTTATTAAAACATGTAATATTGCTAGAAAGCTTTTCACAAATTTCCCACAGAATAATTCTTGGATTTTGATGAAAGAAAATCTGTCACATTTAGGGACTAATATTTATGAGTGTGTAGGATTTGGTGCAGCTTGATTTAATTCATTGGAATTTAACTGGTGTGCCTTCCATGATTAAAACATCAATGTGCCCAAAAAGTCAGGGAAGTAGAAAAGAATAAAAGCTAATAGACAAGGATGAAACTGCGTTACTGGGACGGAAATCTGTCCAAAACATTTGTTAGATCTTCAGAACAAACAAAAAGCATCTAAGTGAGTTTAACACTGAATGCAATTAGAACAATTCACAGGACGAGTGTGGTTAAAAACACTTCAGCAGCTCCCTTAAGTAGCTTTATTTGAATGAATTGGAGAGATGTAATGAAACTTCCTCTGCCTTTTGACAATAGAACAAAGCAGGATACAATCTTAAAATGAAGAAGAGTCATCTTCACCTGCAAATCACTGTCTAATTATTATCATGGAGATGATGCCAGATGATGCCAATAATTTTCCAAAGCAGACGATTGGGTTTTAAACAGATGAAAATGTTTCATCATCCCCTATTTTATTTGCTAGTTGGATAATTCAATACACTGACGATTGTCTCATTACTTTAGGTTAAAGTGATTTTGTCATCAAACACTGTAATTTAGCTCAGACTGAATATTTTTCTTGATAGTGTGTTTAATCCATCCATGATCTATACGGCTTATCCTTTAAGGGTAGTGGGGGGAGCTGGAGCCACTCCCATCTGAGATTGGGCGAGAGGCAGGGTACATCCTGGACAGGTCACCAGTGTACTGCAGGGCTGAAATACAGACTAACCCCAATCTACATGTCACAGGGAGAACTGCAATCTCCACACAGAAAGAACCAACCAAGAACCTTCCTGCTGTGAGGTGTTAACCACAACTGTGCCATCCATGTTTGTGTGCTATACTAATGAAATAATAAAAAAAAAAAAAAATAAGATTCTAAGATTCTACTCAAAAACCTTAAGTTACTGATGACAGGAATCACAGTAAAATAGAAACCCACCTTGAATCTGGTGACGTACTGAGGAAGCTTAGCCTGCTCGGCCAAATCCTCTTCATCTACCGCTTCTTCTTTCTTGTCCTCCTCTCCTCCTGACTCCTCTCCGGAGGACTCAGAGTCTGAGGTGGAAGACAACTCCTGCAGCAAGTCATTCACGTAGTTCAGCTGAAAAGAAATTGAAATGAATGTTAGGACGACAATTTTTTTTTAAAATCATTTTTTATGTTTTTCGAATTAATATGACGTGAAGTTTGAAATCTTCTGAAATAGCTGTTAGGGCCTGAAGACTTTTTGTGTGTTATCATATTACCTGATTATTTGATATGTTCAGGGGTTCCTTATTTGACTGATGACGGAACAGGCATATAAAGAGGAAAGAGGGTGAAAACAAGTCACCTCTTTTTCTCAGAGACGAGGTAAGATTAACAGTGACCTGAGGTGCCAGTCGCCAGCACCTTCATTTGAGATGTAATATTTCCTCTGTGTCCTGTGGCGTTATCTGCTCCGTCTACATTATTGCTGAGCCGCCGTCTCGCTGGCTGCATTAATTCCTGTTGCGGTAATTCTCACAGACATGCTTGGCGCTCCAGGCCCTTCAGAATCTCATTAGACGTGAACAAAGCTCAGCTATTGGACTGGACAGCGCAGGCCGGATTAGCGGCACTACACCCGGTTGCATGTACGTGCATACATGTAAAAATAAAAGCAATATGACAGCATGTGTGTTCCATCTCAGCGGATGAAGACCGTCTATGTCACACACCACACCTGGAGAGTAACAGATGTCTGTCTCTATTGTGTGTGCGTGTGTGTGCACGTGCGTACGTGTAATGATGTTCAGCAGAACCACAATCAATCTTTGACACTATGCAGCATTTTCACCCAAAACACACGATCTCTCAGCAATAATCAAACACTTTGGGAAATGTGTTTGTTTGTCGTCACAGCCTGAAGAGGAGGTCAATAACAAACGTCCAAGGTTCTAATGAGCACAGGGTGTTTTGTTCATGCTGTGTGTTTGTTATCAGTGCTTGTATGAGTCATGTTTGTGTATTATGGTGCACTGTTTGTACTGTTATTCTCTTCTGCCTGTAACATACACCACATGTGATGTCACTGATATTAGGAGTTATGTGTGGACTATGACAGAGACCTGCTAATCAGAAATAAGCCGACCTCACAACACTGCATGCTGTGTTTCTTTCATTCATTGGCGTGGACGTGTTTAGCTAAGCTTGGTATAAAAAGGGTTCACTGCTGTCCTAATTTTATAAGAAAACAAGAATATGGTTTCCACTTCCTGCAGAGCCTTGATTTTATCGTGTTGTCTTTTATACTAGTGCAGTGGCAGTTCTAAATACGTCTGTTTGGACTGGGCTGTTTGTTTATCCTGTGGTGAATATGATTAATGGTTCTGGAGATATGCATTCCACATACAGACGGACTGTCATTTCTGACATTGCAACTATTTTGCTCCCATTGTACAGATTCTGATGCATCTATTCAGGATAATGTAATCTCAAATGCTAACACCATGCATTGAACTGCAGGGATTAATATCACACAAGAAATTGAGCGGGCTGTGAATTAATTGATGTAGCTGAAAGCAGAAACACTGAAGAAAACAATATCTACTGTGCTTATCGAGGTCAGAGATACAAATACAGGGGACTGGATCAATACAAGTCAAAGATCCAATAGTCACCTAGGTTTCCCAATGATACTGTGTTAGTGCTTGAAAACAAATACAATTAAATAACAATCAACTTTGAGATCAGTTATTTAAATGTCTATGTTCTTACCATGTCTTTGGACAGCTTGATGTCATCAGAAGGAGCAGCTACCCGCTCCATGACAGCCAGCGCTCGGTCCAGATATCCACGACCCCAGAAGAGAGGCATGCCTCTGAACACGGTGTGTATGCCCCTTAACATCTCTACTTTGCCTAGATGGGGAAAAGGAGAATGAGAATAAATGAGAGGGAGCATAATGAAAGTGTGTTGGACCAATCAACCATTGCAAAAATAAACAAGGTAATAGGGGAGGAAACTTCAGAACACACACCTAGGAGAGCATTTCCAAGTAGCTGAGCACTCAGGCCAACAGAGTTGTCTTGCTTCAGTCCACAAATGAGCAGCGACGCACCCAAAGCCCGCTCCTCTGACATCTGAACACAGCGAGGAACAAGTGCACACATTTCATCTGGAAGCACATTGGTTGGTTCTGCTACAAACATTCACACACTAATGACTTTCAGGAATCCATTTTTCCAAAATGAATAAAGCCCTCATACATCACTCTGAGCATCAGCAGTCATTCAACATGTCATTGATGACTTTACCGTAGGAGTAATGTACTGCATTCCTGCCAAGAGTAAGAATACTCTGCTATCATTTATTTTCATAAGGCCGTCCATGTTGCTGCGGCTGCAGTTTCACTCACAGTGAGTTGTGGTCTGGCTGCGACATAAGAGCCCAGAGCGTAGAGAGACAGAATCTGAGTGGAGGGAAGGTCGAAGGCCTCTTGAAGCATCACTTCTTCCACCACAGAGCACGCACCTGTACGGTAGAGACATCATGTCAGGGATACCCTACAATGTCATTGTTGCTGTTCTCTAATGACTTTTTGTTAGCATTGATTTTCTTTATTTCTGTCTGTCAGGCTGCTGTTTTCAGATATTTCCATCTAAAATAATATTTTTGTAATGCTTCTCAACCTAATTGTAGCAAATATTACAGTGTTTTTAGGACAAGAGTAGGAGAGAGTCAGTTTAACCCTGGTCAAGTTAAAGCGATACTGAAACTTTGTGTTCTTTGATGAAACACTTTAATATCACTTGTATTATCACATTTCTGAAGAAACCGCTCGCGTGTGTGAATCTGGAAAGCTTTCCAGGGAGAGGAACTTCAGCCAAAACTTAGCGATGAAGTTACACTGGGTACACAGGATAAAACTGCTGCTATTCTATATTTTTCCTATAATGGAGAAATACTAGAGCCATCATTATCCAAGTTTCCATCATAATTTTAAACAACTTATAAGAATATAAGCAAATAGAAATGCAAATAAATGTATGTTACGAGCATTACTGTCCTGTCAGGTGTCATCTAACTACTACAGAGGAGGAGGGCAAGATGAGACGATGTACTAACGTTATGGATTGTGTCTGTAGTCTTGACTGAAATAAAAAAAACTACGGTGCCCTACATTCATTGTAATGAAGACTTGTCATTCAGTGCAACAATGTGACTCTCTGATGTGTTTTTAATTGTTTTTGGACAATTATGAATCACCATAAAAACAGAGGAATAGGACAAATCAGGTTTTGAAGTGAGTGGGATCAATACACTGTTGTGTTTTAAGGGGTTTTGTTGACGGTGAAAAATATAATTAAGTAACTCCTCCTTTAACAGTAAAGAAATGTCAGATTTGAGCAACAGTTCTGAAGAGACACAGTCATAACAAACAGTGAACTCAGCATTTTATCAGAAGAAAGAAACTTTACCACACACCTGGAAACACTGTGATAGAACTATTTGCCTTCATTAGTTGAAAAACGACACTGTTTACTGTCTAATGTCAGAGACGTAATCAGGCTTCTCCTTTACCTCTGTCTTTTACAAACAAGGGAAGAAATGTTTAAAATATGATTTTAGTGATTTGACAGGCAGCTCCCACTCCTGGCATTATTCACAGTCAACAAACACGGAAAACCGCAGCAGCTTGTACTTAATTTCAACTGTCTGTCTGTTTTTTTCCTCCGTAAATCTTTCATGGGAAAAATGTTACTTACTTTTAAAGTCTCCATCCTTTATGTAAGGATCTATGAGCAGGTTGAAGGTGAAATCATCTGGAAATATTCCATACTGGACCTACACACACACACACATATACACACATATACACACACACACAAACAAACACACACTTTGGATATTCATGCCACATACATAACTCGATCTTTTACATTATTTATCCTTCAACATTGTTTACTCGACATGATTTGGTAAAGACGTTGTATACCATGCACAACAATAACAACTGCAGATTCCTACAGCATCACTGACACCAATCAAAACAGGCGGCCATACTGACAGAGTATACACCGCTTTACCTTACTGTAAACACATCACCGGCCAGTTGATGTCTCTGCCTTTGGAATAATGCAACGATTCCCAGATAGTACGACTCATTCAAGAACAGTACACATGCTAGGGAAATGTCAAACATGTTTGATGTTATTTGTGCTGCTCAGATCGGTTTGAAAATGCATCTGGGTTGTTAAGATGGGATCTATAATCTCCCGTCCTGGAAGATAACTGCAGCTGTCAGCCCTGATCAGAGCCGCTGATTACATTTCCTCTCTGGTTCTGACGATGAGCCTCTTCTAAATAACAGAGGGAATAGAATATGATGCGTGTACCTTGTTTTTAAGCGTGTACAGGGATTTATCCCTGGCCCCGTATTTTAGACACTGTCTGATCCAGCAGTGAACAGTCCAGTCTCGCAGGTACCAACAGTTTGGACTGTGACGAAACCTGGAGGAATAAAAAACACATGTATGTACACATATATGTACCTGAATGGCCCCAACAGTCCTCTTAAATTCAACCAAACTGCACCAAATTCCACACACTCATAGATATAAGTTCCAAACATTTTTTCATTAAGATCCATGAATTATTCCCTGGATCTAAACACAATTTGAATAGGTTCTCTGACCCGCTTGCTTAGAAACAAACAAACCAGCAAACAAACAAAAAGGGGTAAAAACAAAACCTCCTCGGCGGGGGGGAAATAAACATATAAATCTGCACACAGCTAACAGGGGGGATGTGAAAAAGAAAAGAAGTAACATGCAGCTGTGATCAAATGTCACAAATGTGTAATAAACCTTTTAGCTGCTGAATCACACAACTTTGTACAGAAATATCACAAATGTGTGAAAACCAAACGCATCAAAAACAGTTCAATGTGTTTTTTACTCAGAAACTTTCCAAAGTGGAGAGTTTGTTATTCAGTTCTAACTCAATTATGAAAATGAATGGGCCTCAAACAAGTGTGTGATTGGGAAATATCCTAAGTCTTGTAATCACAAGAATGGGTGCAGATTCCAGAAGAGGGAGTAAACAGGAAAGTCTGGAGTTGCCCTGAACAAAGAAAAGCATGTGACCGAACATAAACCAAAACAGACAAACCAAACAGACAATTCATTCCAAAATAAGCACACAAGTTGGTGAAGTGGACCGAAACCAAGGCAGCAGCAGATATCTGACAAAGACTCGCAGACGCAGAAAGAGTAAAACTAATTCCTCTTACTTGTAGAGGTAATACTCTGCTTGATCTACTTCCTCCCGAGATGATATGTTGTCAACAAACTGAAACACAAACAGAAAATATAAACACATTTGTTAGTTTAACAGTGGCAGGTTTGCCACCGAACAAATGAAACAGTCCATTTCAGTGTGGACACAGCTTACCCGCGACACAGTCAGAGAGCTAACTGGTAGATTCTTGTCATAGGTCCTGTCCATCGTGGCAGCCAGTTCAGCTGAGTCCAAAAAAACACACACAACACTATTATTACACAGTTTAACGTGTAATAAACAAGCATTAATCAAAATGTTAAGAATTTATTTTATAGTAACATATCCCAGTGGTAACACCTGCTTAAACAGATTTTCATGAAACTTGGTGGAAGCATTGGACATGAGCCATAAACAAGCCATTACATTTTGGTGTGGATCTAGACAAAGGGGCGGTTCCAGGAAATGTTTGTCTCTTTCTTAAAGATTTTGAGATATGGTGTTTTATTTTACATTTTGACGAATTTCCCAGGGAATAATTGATGGATCTTGATGCTTAAATTGGGCATAATTAGTGGACTGATTTCTATGAGTGTGTTTGGTGCGGATCCCAAAAAAAATCTAGATCTAGCAGATGGAATTTCACTGGGGGCGGGCTCTTTTCAGTGACTGTACAGTAACAAATAGGGCTATAAACCTGTAACTACCACTAATGTGTAGTTGAGATAATCCCGACTCAGTAGGGAATCACCAGTTTGTATGCTTCATCATCAGTTCAGCTCGATTTAAAGAAATTCAAATCTTAATTTAAATTGAGTTGATATGGGCCATGATGGGCTGAGTGATAATCATAGCCATTCTACTGAACGCTTATCAATCAGTGCACCGTGATGCTGCAGTGTTACACTGCCATCCTGTGTTGATCACACGCACACACAGTATAAGCTCCACTACAACACCTAGTCAGTCCTGCAACATTGAATGTGTCTTAATACTAAATTAAAACAACAATAAACTGCACTCTCAAAATGTTACATAAAGCACATTTATTTATTTGTTAAATCAGGAAATATGTGATTGAAGAGGAAAATGCAGATCTAACCTGCCGTTTATTTCAATTTTCATTTCACAAACAGTATTTAGCATTAGCAGTTTGATAAGCAGCGAGGTGTTCCTAATAAAGTGCTCGGTGGGCGTAGGTTCCCTTCAGTTGGATCTCTTACCCAGATTATGAGGGTCCTTCTCTCTCGCCTCCCACAGTCTGGTGTCGGTGTAAGCTGCTGAGAGCAACCATC